TGGCAGGCTTCTTGCTAACTGTTCTTATAGCTTAAATTAATCCATTTCCATAAATCTATATCTTGCCACGTGGCTCGTGGCTTACCAGCATCTTCACATGCTGCTTGTCATGGCAGCAGCTGGCAGTGACTCTCTCCGCCTTCCTGTTCTCTCTACTCTCCTCTCTGTTAGTCCCGCCTATACTTCCTGCCTGGCCACTGGCCAATCAGTGTTTTATTTATTGACCAATCAGAGCAATTTGACATACAGACCATCCCACAGCAGCTTGTTTCCCTAGAAGGGGTGAGAGAACCCACACATCCTTCACTCTGGTGTTTTCATTCACAGAGGTATTTCCCATGGTACAGAAAAGGGATCAAGTATGTAAACACATCTACTTTTAAAAATGTAATTAACTGTCCAGTAGCCCTTCATCCTGCTGTAGGTGTTCCTTTTGTCAGAAGAGTCCTTCCTCCCTTGTAGGGCCCCAGTCAGGGAGGCTACCTGTCCTGGCACAGTGTGTCACTCCCATAGCCTTGCTGGTGGCAGTGTTACATTATGCTAAAGGACTGTGTTATGATGTATTACCAGGGGGCCCTGAGGGTATCCTGCATGTGCGTGCAGGGAAACATACTGGCATGCTGGGCAGATGCAGTGGCGGTTTTGTGGGCGACCCACTCCATACGGGCAGGGCGGCGGTGGGTAGACTTAACCCAGACACTGCATCCACACGGAAATGGTTTATTATAATAGAAGAACACGGAAATGGTTTATTATAATAGAAGAGAAGAAGACAAGAAAGAGGGAGAGAAAGTGAGGGAGAGGGAGGGGTTGAGGGGTGCACACCTTATGGGAGTGGAGGGGGGGGGAAGAGGAGAGAGGAGAGAGAGAAAGAGAAGGAGTGGAGTTTTTCCTTAAGAAGAGGCTTCTATGTCAGGATGCAGGGTAACCCTAAGGGGTGGGTCAGAATATTAACAGACTGTACAATGGGCATTTCCAAGGAGCAAGTAAGAAAAGCCTCCCAGTGAAGACGGCTTTAAATTCGCTGCTGGTGAGGCCTGTCCTGGAGGCAGCATGGAGCTCCTGGAAGTTTGCAGGGCATCCTGACCACAGAAATGCTCTGTGTTGAAAACTCACACAGACTTCAGAGTCATGGCAGGCGGGGGTGGGGCGTGGTGGTGGGGACACAAACATGGACACTTCTGTTCTGTTACACTGGGGTTGAACCCAGGGCCTTGTGATGCTAAGCAACTGCTCTACCATTGAGCCACACCCCAGTCCCAGTGTAAACGTTGATCCAGAATGAGGCCTGGCATGCAGCCGGGGTCTACCCTGCTGGCAGTTGTCTCTGCCCCCTCTTGTAGTGCCCTCTAAATAACCAGGGGGTCTGTCCTCGAGCCAACTCGTCCCTGTGTGTTAAAACTCCTTGGGCACTCTATCCTTGGTTCTTGGAGGG